ACCTGGTGCACTGCACGGATGACCAGGTTTCGTGTGACAAGCGGCGACTGGCTGTTTAACTTTGCCAGCCACTGCGTCCGATCCCGCCTCAGGTCGTCCTGACCCCGTCTCTTAACACAGCACCCAGCAGGGTGAGGGAAGAGGGAGTGTGGCAAATTCTGCGTAAGTCTGTCATCACTACGAAGTAATTCAAGCGCAAGTCACATTCCTCTACCGTAAAGAACACGAAGGATATCAATGGTATCGATCTTTAAATTGTCGTTGTCACAGCGATTACTTTGGAGCCCGTTAGACATATGTGTTTTGACAAATCACAAAGTTTTAGTCTCATTCATGCCGGTACGCTCAAGATGCGCTGATGCGAACTTGTTTCCAAACTGCCACGGTAAGTGGGGAGATTGCCGACAACAACTTCCGTTTGGCTCCTAACTCATGGTGGATCGGGATCTTTTTAAAACTGACAGACCAGAAAATAAGGCCAATTTTGCGGATGCTGTGATTAGCGCACTTTCGTCACTGTCTGCTCGGTTTTAGCAAAACGCGGCATCAATCGGTAGGCCTAAACACTTAAATTTGAGGTCTAGAAATAATGTTCCTTCCTACGGACCAGGTATGTGTGAAGTGCACGCAGCTAGAAGAAAAAAGCGTATGCACCAAGGCTCCTAAAGCAGTAATTCTCCTTTTTCAGAATACTTTTCAATAAAACTGTTTTTCAGGTGAGTTGCAAAGCTGCTTAGTAATAAACCTAAACCAAGTCAGTTTCGTAGGGCAGGAGACTGGCTTCGAACTCAGCGGTCTTATGGTCACGAAAATCCCTACCTACTTAGCGAACATTCTTTTTATGTGTTCATACCATTTGCCTGAATTTATCAATACTTCGTTAAAAAGGCTGCGCAAAAAATTTCCTTCTAATTCTTGTATTCAAGAAAATAAAACTGCGAAATTATTTTTATTAACGGTTCTCTGGGCACTAAAAATCAAGATGCTGTTTGTAAAAATGAAGGGTGTCAGGAAAGATGCTGAATCAAAAGTTCAAACGTTGTCGTTTATGAAACAAACTTGAATTATTCCCATGAAAATCAATCTTGCAGCCCCACTTAAGAACCATTTTTATGTGCAAGTGTCTTTAAAAATTAGTAATTTATGTTTTGGGAGTTTTGACATGTATCCTAATTCAGTTGGATCACATAGGTGCAAGTTTTCTACAATCGGAATGGAAGGCTGCCTGGCAGCTAACAGAGTTATGCTATATGACGTGGACCTTAGGCCGTCTATTGCGTAACACCTAGGGCGGGTGACACTGACGCAGGAGAAGATTCGTTGAATTGCATTAAAAGCAAAGAATTATAATTTACGAGTTTTTTTTCACTAAATTAATTTTATGAAGTGCTCACCGATCACGCGGACAGCCATCTCGGCCAGACTGTTCCCAAAGCCGTTGACCGCGCTGCATTGATAGCGACCAGATATGTCGAGAGAATCGGCCCGAATGGTAATATTTTTAGTTTCGTCAAAGAGATGGGCAGGGTACTCAGGTCGTGACCACTTATAGAAGGGCGTCTCGAAGGGACAGGAGAGAGTAAACTCTGTGTTTAGGGGCACCATGTAACCTCGGCGGTGAGTGATCCGTTGTTGCAGGTTCCCAACAAGCGCCGGATCTAGGAAAAAAGACGGTCCTAAGAGGCGACAAAAACAAAACACCAACCATCCAGCGTACTTTTATCCTTTTAACTTAATAGCTGAATGAATGAAAACGTATTTTCATGGATAAAAAAGAAGACTAAACTATTGCTACACGAATTGCTGTTTAGGACTCCGAAAGATCCCCAACTCCACTGACAGTTAATGAACGTATGCCGCTATAAGTGTCCCCCACCCATCCTTTTTGGTTACTGTTTCCTACCCCTTGACGACCTGATGATCTCTGACCATTGATTGGCCTATGACTATTATAATTATCCTCCTTTTGGTTGCTGCTTTTGATTTCTGAAGATGGATTCGTGTAAGGGTTCTAAAGCTCAGAACAATAAACAAATTGATCCAAGTCTTCTTTATCCATTCAGGTGGATTCTAGATGGTTGCTTAGGAAATCCTGCCTGGGCAATCAGCTTGCTGTTCCTTAATGCTGGATACCATGCGAGAGGTAAGTTGTGCGTGAAAAATCGACAAAACTTTGATTAAATTAACGGCGCACGGTGAGCCTCGTAGCTCAATAGTAGAGCGTTGGCTGCGCAAAAGCCTGTCCTGCTGTGTGGGTTCGACTTCCACCGAGGCCGCAAATTTTTCACAATTGGGCCAACTGAATTATCCATAACAGCTAAAATTTGTACTTTTAGGATTTTGACTGGGCAACTGCAAAGGCTAATGGACATCAGAAGGAATATATCTATGAAGACCTTGAGAGTCCAGGTGTGCATGCTAACGAAGAGGGGCGATGAAATGAATTCGTAAACAATGGATAGTCTCGCATGTCATCATGGATCCGACAGGTGAGAAATGATATACGTTTGGAAATTTACTATTCCACTGACACAGATGACGCCAGTGAGCTGCCTATAAACAGTAGGTAGGGTTGTCAATGTGATTGGCATGTCTAGAACGGTTTCGTTATGTTTTGACCCTGGACAAGCAACTGGATTCTACTTGTTATTACGACAACCCAAACAGAAAAGAATCCCGTCATCGAATTCTCTCCTTCAGTAAAGGTCAAGTTTCCTACAAAGGCAATAATCTCCTCATCGTGAATTTTCCCTCGATTGTATCTCATATTATTACTGTTTACACGAAACGTAGACCTCACTGATCGTTATCAAGCATAATAAAAGCGCCGTGTATATGAGGATGTGAACTGGCTTGAATTCGAGCAGACAGAAACTCAGACATAGATGCAGTAAAATTTCTCACCTGAGGCGTGGATCTTCACAAGCAAAGGGATGAAGAAGAAGCCGAAGAGTGGCTGAAGTTGTTGAAGCATGACGTCTGGGTAACAGTGTTGCTGCTGATGATGATGGTGATGATGAGGACGAACAAATATTGACCTACAAGAAAGGGAGGAGGCAGTTTTGTTACTTCGACCCGGTGCTGACGTACTGTGCCTTCTTGTCATTTTGAAGGGAGCTATCGATCTCATAGGCAAAAAAATAGTACCCTTAGGTGAAATTTTGAATTGCAACAATTTTGCAAGTAAGATTGCAGTGCTTACTATCAGATTGATCAGGTTTTTTTGCACAACCCATGGCCACTTATAAATGAAAGTAGTCCGTTTTGTAGTAAGACCCATAAACACAAAATACTCCCTTATATGGTTACTAATAACAGCAATTATGAATTTTTTTTACCCATTTACGATTATACCCTGCAGGTCGTTTACAAGGGAGTTTTCTAAAAGATTCAACGTAAGCAAAAAATTGAGCGTTTTTAATCCCACACATACTCTACACTATGAATTTGTATAAACTGGCTTACTTGTATGGTTTATCGTAAAAATTAATTTTCGTCTGGTTGCATGCTGTTTTTTTTTCTAGATTTCGAGTTTGTTTGGAGGGATCGATCATAAACTTTATTAATGAAGTCGTCTGTAGGAGACATTGGTCTTAAAAAAATGCGCTTGAAAAAAGGCTAGTTAACCGTTCCGATTGCTTAAGTCTGGAAACTTATGCTTGAGCTTGCATGTACTCTAGTTTTCGCTGGTTTCCTGAACTTGTTAACTCGTTACTTTTGGAGTGTGACTTGATACAAAGATTGAGGGTTTTCGTGGAAGGTTACGGGATCCTGCATTCCAAATTAGAAGACGCAATAATGAATACGCTATTTACATAGATCAACGTATTCGAAATTTAAAGTTTGAGTGTACGATGACGCTGCATACTTGCGAAATAGTCCAAACAGAGATTTGTTTTCAACTATTTCTGTGTGATAAAATGGGTTGCAGGCAACCGAGGTCTACGATCGGTGCCCTTGCAATGGGGCGAAGCAATTTATATTATGGCTATCGACAACAGACGTGGGCTCAGATTTTAAAACTGCTACATTGAATTCTCCGTCCAACGAACTTCGCGTTTGAAGACTTCGCTTCAGAGGCAGCTAACCGGCCTGGTCTGCTTCTTGTTACGCCGACTTCTGCGGAATCATACAGTGGTACGTATTTGAGAACTTTCATTTAGCTAGATGGTCAGTAGCAATATCTGGGCGTTTACCCTGGCAGACATCGATTAGCACTGCAAAATGCAAAAGGTAAAAGTGGACGGGGGCGGATGCCTAAACTTATTGCACTGTATTTTTCACGTATGTGGCGTCAGAGGTCCACCCGTTGCCTGTATGTGGTAATGGAGTTGTCTCACCATGAGTGTGAGCTCCAAAGGGACCATGGACGGACGAATGTTTCCTCTAAGTGATCGGTGTTCGCCTGTCTGTCATTTACTATTTATGTTCTCCAAAAGTTGTTACTTAGTATGAAGTACCGACCCCCTGGTGATGAGTTCGAAAGAGATAGAGTTCAAAACTGCATGCCCATAAACATCATGTTCTAGCCATCGCACCTTCATCTGAACTGCTCCCTAGAACATGTTTTTTGTTTCTATCCAAAAGTACACACCTATACACATTTTAGAGTTCGAAGTATGTGGAGCAGAGATGCGTCTGCATGTCTTAACAACTCTTGAAGCTCTCGGACAGCGACCATCATGTCCATCGTCGTACGGGTTTTGTGGAATTAAAGTTGCGACCATGACAATCGTCTTCTTGCCTCTTTTACTTTCACTATCGACTCTGACTGTGGTGAAATAAAAGCAATATCTGCATTCAAAAAGTACCTGACTGCAAAAAGACTGCTTCCTTTTCTGGAATGTGTACAGAGCGAAGTATAGTTTGCATTTCAAGTGGACAGGCAGCAATGAAGATGGAGAAAGAGGGGAGGGCGGGGGGGTAGGCGTTCGAAAGTAAAGCGACGCAGTAGTTCAGTTTTGCTCTTCTGTTTTCCCCTTTCCCATACAGCGTCAACTAGCG